ACCAAGTAGGTCAGACATGCAAATAAAATTTCACCATTATTGAATCATTAGCATATGAGACTAAATGTTCATGTTCAAATGAGCAAGCAGTCATGGGAGCATGCCTGTACATGCAAACACATCCACAGAGAGAGAGAGAGAGAGAGAGAGAAAGAGAGAGAGAGAGAGATATATATATATATATATATATATGCAAACTCCTAAGGCTTGAGAACAGAAATCTTTGATAGCAAAATACAAACTCACTCTTCAAGCATCCAATAACTGCGTCTTTGGAAATTTTCATTTTCTTCTCCATGGGCATAGTAGCAGTGCAACACATCAACACTTCCGGCCTGAAAGAATGTCCAATATTATTCAACAAATATAAATAGAGAACAAAGGATTCCTAAACAAAGTAACTCTTGATGCAAGTTACAAAAACTCGAGAAATCTTTAGTATCAAAATATTATCACCTACCTAATGAAATTCTAAACCAAATTTCTTTCCCCGCTGTTTTCCTAAGCAGCAATTTTATTCAGTTTGGTATCGTTGCTTCTATGTACTTAATTTTGGCATTAAATAAGGGCGCAAGTGAGCTGCAGTAAGTTGAGCTTTGGACTGCACAGACTTGGCTGACTATATTTTTGTTGAGCTGAAGCCTAACACCAGCCTTGAGGTTCAGCCCAAGCTTGGCTTTCTGAGAAATAAGAGTTTGAACTTAATTCATTGACTTTGATGATCCTATAATGGAGTGACCTCAATCTTAAATTCACCAAAGACCTTCATGATACTCACAATCACAAGTGGACTGGCTGTTTGCATCCCTAACATCAAAGTTTTTTGTTTTAAAGAGAATTCGTGAATCGCATAACCCTTATATACTTTAAATTTAAAACCACAATCTTGATTCTCTAGCCTACAACATCAAATTGTAGTTTTTGACATTCAACATGACTGTTTTTTCCACATCAATCTTATCCCAGAGCTCTTCCCCCCTATGTAAGTTTGGTATCATTACTTTCCATCTTATGTCAAAATCCTTGGGTCATAAAATAAAGTTACCCGAACAAAGCTCTTCAATATGCTCCAATCAAATTTCAAGCAGAAATTTGGCGTAATATATTTATATGTGCTATTTAAAACCTATGACACCATTCTTTGATGATTACCTTAAGCCTCTCATGGGCTTCCTTCACTGTCTTTCCATCTTTTTTTTTCCTCCAGTTATGGCCATCCTTCCTGAAATATCTAAGCAGCTTCCGATCAAAAAGAAAAAGTGATCCACCTAAAACAAATGATGTGTGTCAAGCCACAGTAGGTTTTCACACATACCCAAATAAAACTAAAAACAATACAATCAAAGCAAGACGCACACCATATCTCAGCATACATCTCATAAAATTTAAAATTTGTATAGTATATGCAAAGTAAATACAATTACAACTTCATGCAATGCTAATATATATGACCTTAAAAAAAAAAAAAGCAACAGTTAGCCTTTATGCCAAAAAATAAATGCCAGTAACACATACAAAAATAAAACCAAAAACAATACAAAACACAACTCCCATGCCAGACGACAATGCAAAATAGACAACTCCCATGCCATGTCTCAGAATTTGATTTTTCAAAATAGAAAACCAGGCCTATCCAATACTTTATCATGTACACAAAAATATAGTAATAGCACAGCTGCACAATCTCAGATAGATCATTGTGAATGCAGAGGAACTACCATGCAATTTCTACATAACAATAAGCCATGTTTGTTGACAAATTTTACAGATTACTAGCAGTTGAATTGAAAGACAAGCTTCATTACAAAACTTTTCTAAAATACTACATTATCATGTGGCGGAAAGAAGGGACTTCAATAACAATATTTATTGCCAAATCTAATGCAGCTGAAAAATCATACCTGGTGGCATACTTGCAGGCTCTGAAGAAATGTGAAATTTTTTATAATTTCGAAGAATTTCACATATTTCAGCCGGGCGTAACCAGCGATGTTTTGCTTCTAAGAGTATCTGTGCAATATCTGCATCCAATCATATCACAATTAATACCAATCCATATAAAATAGATAATCATATTTTAATGCTTCATTCATTGACATAAGAAAACCACATGACAACCAAGTGAGAGAGAGAGAGAGAGAGAGAGAGAGAGAGAGAGAGAGAGACATGATTTTAGACACTTAAAGCTAAAAAAAAGATAGATAATTTACAGGATGGAGTCCTCTAGACCTAGAGGTACACGTGTGGACACCAACTTCAAATATAATCATCAAAAGGGTTCAGTCATCATGAAAAAGACCATTCACTCCACCCCCAAGCAGAAAATGTGATCTAAGCACCCTATTTATGGAAGCTGCAGGGGTGGGTTAGGGGGCCATGGCCAAACCTAGCCTTTAGCACCTTCCTGCCTTTGCAATTTGACCCACCCCTCATGTCAATTTTAAATACTTCGATTCACCAACTTTGTTATATATTTCAAGATTACTAAGAAGAGTAAAGGACATGTTCAGTAGGTTTGTAGAAATGGACTTTAAGAATTTGGTTGGATAATTCAAGAAGGTGAAATAAAACCTACAATATGACTGACTACCAAAAGATTATCTAAAAAGATGAATGGATTGATGATAGTCTTTAGAAAATGTGAAAGGAGGATTGCTAATTTCTAGCTTCCTTAGGCTTAAGGAAAAAATAAGAAGCATGGAAGAGACGTTTTACCATGTCACACTCTCTCAAGCAATCTATTTGGCCAAAATTTAAGAAATAGCATTAGAGGGAACTCAAGTGCTAATCCAATGGTCAGCATCAGTAATAGACAATTCTGCTTGAGAACCTTGGTCACTCATAGTGACCGAATTTCCTGATTTTATTCTTGCGGACTCAGATGGTATGGACGGGTGAGGTACCTTGTCATTTCCTAAAGAATTAAGAGCAATTAGAAATGGCTAGCTGCTATTGTTGATGCGGATGTCATGTCAGAGCTAGCTGCACTATTAAGCTGTGTCAGTGGTGAGTGGCTACTTCTGCTTTGCATTAGGGATGCTGCTAAAGGATCTAAGAGCCTATGTTTTGATTAGGAGCTACGAAGCTTGCGTCTTGAATTTCTAATTGATGCCAGGCTGAGTTTTGCTGACTTAAATTTGAACTCTTGATTCAAAGTTTAATTAGTCCAACTCAAAACCCTTGAATAAGATTAGAATAGAGTTTTAGATAAGATGAGTTAGGAAAAGTTATCTTGCTACTTGATTGGTTTCTGTGCTAGCAGCTTTTATAAATTCACTGCAGTTCTAGCCAATGATTTCCAACGAAAATTGAGATTTTTTCTCAAACTGAAGCTTCCTTCCAAAGGAAAATAATACCAAGTATGTGGTACTCAAGACCGGATTAGACTCAATTGTGACCCTGATTAGATGAAACAGTCTACACGCTGGCTGGAATTGAACACCGTGTTTCAATTCTCAATAGCATTTTCATGGCTTAGCAAAAGAAAAACTATAAATCAACAATATCTTGAAAAGAAAATAAACAAATATGTTTACTAGTAAAAATATCATTTTCCTAAGGAAACGAAAGTAGCAAAGGACACAACAGAAAACCAGAATTCAACTTGGATCAAAATATTCATATAAACAAGTAACACATGAAAATGAGAAATAAGTCACACACACAAGAAAAAAACCAGAAAAAATGACTACAGAAAAACATAACTGACCCAACTGATTGCCAAGACCATAGCGCTTGGTATCCGCCATGAACTCGATGCGTGTTGTAGTCACTGAAATCCCACAACCAGAGCCAACTTGTATCTCATACATAGGCCATAGCCAACAAGCCAAAAAAAGTGACTGCTCTTTGATCTGAAGGGTGTGGCAACAAAAAGACAAAAAGGCTTAGCCTTTAGGGAATGATGAAAGCGTGTGATGAAGATTGCAAAAATAGAAGGAGAAATTTTTAGAGTGAGTTTTGGGAAGAAATATGAAAGGAAAGTTTAGAAAGAGAGTTCGTAAAGGAAGGTTCCGAGGAAGGTGAGTGAAAAATGCAGGCACGAATGGAAAGCAGGGCAATTTAGGACAGTAATTATCTGACTCGTTACCACAGCCACTCAGCCACTCGGCCACTCGGCCACTCAGTAACTCTTTTGTTTTGTGTGTGAATGAGAACGATGACTAATTGACTATTTATTTTACTCTGTGTGTTGTGTTGTGTTGTGTTGTGTTTGTCAATATAAAACTTGGCCCACTTTTTTGACGTCAATCCTGGCTGGGAATTTTTTTCGTCAATGCGGGATTTTGCGCGTCTCTTTCCTTTTGTGTCATTTCAAATTTATTTTTCTTTTCAATTTTATCTTTTTTGAATGCCAATGATAGATTTTGGGATTTTCTTACACACATATTATTAAAGGTTATAGGACTTCGAATTTGAGGTCATTGGTCTATAAATTAGGACTCTTTTGTATTGTGCTAGATCCCGTTGGCAATATTTTTTTTTCATTACTAAATGTACTAAAACTTCAAAGCAAAATCTATATTAGTTTAAGGGGGAATGCATGCGTAAGCAACAACAAGCTCAAGGGAAATGAAGGCGGCGTGGCATGGAAGATCTAGCAGGACAAGAGAGGTCCTTGTATATATCTTCAATGGAGTTGAAGCAAATGGTCGTTTCTTACATTAACCATACCATTGCATTGAGCGATTTGTTATCATCATCATAGCCCTACCTTAGTCCCAATCCTAACTATCTTAGGAATTTTTCATTCAGAGACAAATGCCTGAGTTGTTTTAAAGGCAATAGTGAATTACGATTTATGGTTTCTATGGCTAGAGAGGATATATCATATTGGGTAAAAAATAATACTTCATTCATATTGATATATAGCAATAGGAAGGTTATATATACAGAGCCTAGGAAACTATTTTAGGAAAGTAATTATGCTCATATAATCTTGCAGAATCAAATAGTTGACTTAGACTAATTAGGAATGTACAGCTCATTGACACTCCCCCTCAAGTTGGAGCATATATGTCGTCAATGCCCAACTTGCTAAGTGAGCTGTGAAATACCCTGCATATGACTGCTTTGGTGAGGACATCTGCAAGTTGGTCTTTGGATTTAACAAATGATACCTTAATGATCTTCGCCTCGAGCTTCTCCTTGATGAAATGTCTATCAACTTCAACATGCTTGGTTGTATCATGTTGCACTGGATTATGTGCAATGTATATTGCAGCTTTGTTGTCACAATTCAGTTGCGTGGCATGTTTGGGTTTGAACCCCAATTCCCCCAACAAATTCCTTATCCAGAGTAGCTCACATATTCTGTGCGCCATACCTCGATATTCTGCTTCAGCACTTGATCTTGACACTACTTTCTGTTTTTTACTTCGCCAAGATACTAGATTGCCTCCCACAAAGGTAAAGTATCCAGATGTTGATCGCCTGTCAGTAACAAAGCCCGCCCAGTCTGCATCAGTGTGACCCTCAACATCTAGATGACCATGTCGTGTGAACATCAATCTTATTCCAAGAGATGACTTCAAGTATCTCATAATTCGGTTTACCGCATCCACGTGGGCTTCACTTGGTGCATGCATAAACTGACTCACCACACTTACGGCATATGCTATATCAGGTATAGTGTGTCCTAGATAGATTAACTTACCCACAAGGCGTTGATATCTTTCTTTGTTAGTGGGTACCTGATCAGGATATTCACCAAGCTGATGATTCAACTCCATTGGCATATCTGCTGGTTTGCTGGCTGACATTCCAGTGTCAGTCAAAATGTCAAGGATATATTTCTGTTGTGATAGAAATATTCCTTGTTCTGAACGAGCCACTTCGATGCCTAGGAAATACTTCAGAGCACCAAGATCTTTCATTTCAGACTCACTTGCCAAGTGGTGCTGCAATGCTGCCTTTTCCTCTGGGTCATTCATGGTAACTACCATGTCATCAACATATATAAAAAAAGCCAGTGACTTTACCTTTCTTATGTTTCAAGAAAAGAGTATGATCTGAGTTACTTTGCTTGTATCTAAAATCCTTCATTGATTTGCTGAAGTTTCCAAACCATGCTCTGGGTGACTGCTTCAATCCATAAAAGGACTCTCTTAGTTTACACACCATGTTGCTAGTATTTGGCCCCATCTTGCATCCTGGTGGGGAATCCATATAGACTTCTTCTTATAGGTCGCCGTGCATGAAGGCATTTTTGACATCAAACTGGTGTAATGGCCAGTTTAGATTTGCTGCCAGAGAAAGAAGTACCTGAATTGTGTTTATCTTGGCTACAGGGGCAAAGGTCTCCCCATAGTCAATCCTATAAGTCTGAGTATAACCTTTCGCCACCAATCTTGCTTTGTATCGTTTAATGGTGCCATCTGCCTTGAACTTTACTGTATATATCCATTACAACCCACTGTTCTCTTCCCTTTAGGAAGGATAGTCATCTCCCAAGTGGAATTCTTCTGGAGGGCCTCTATTTCATCATTCATTGCTTGAGTCCACTTGGGATCTTTCAGAGCTTCCTGCACATTACTTGGAATAGATACAGTGGATAATTGACATACAAATGATGCACATGACGAAGACAACCTATGTAGGGACACATGATTAGCAATAGGGTATTTAACTTTTGTTTTTTGGTCCAGGTCATACTGTTGTTTAGGAATCCCTCTAATAGTACGAATAGGTAATTGATAACCTGTGTTTCCTGTATGACTTGACTCAGGTAAAGTGCTTAAGTTGGAGCTTAAATGTTCAGTTACCTGCGGGGAATCTTTCGGACCTGATTGGATGATTGGTGATGGGACTGTAGTAGGAGGGAAATTATCTGAACTATTATCTGGAGTTTCCAGTAACTCTTGATCTTATTGCACTACTGTAGCTGGTTGCTCGGACACTGACTGCTCTAAATCATTTTGTTGAATTTGGATGCTCTGAGTATCTTCTGCAAAGATAGAGCTCTCCCCCTGCAGAGGATGCTCAGGAACTCCCCCTGAGTAATAGAACTCACTCTCGTGGAAAGTCACATCTGCGATAACATGCATGGTCTGAGTGGGAGGATGGAAACACTTATAGCCCTTCTTAGTGTCAGCATAACCCACAAAGACACAATGTAGTGCACACGGATCAAGCTTGCCACGCTGATGTGGATACACCTGAACATAAGCAACACAACCAAAGAGACGTGGTTCGAGATTTTGTGTGAATGGCATGGTGAGGAGAGTGGTCAATATCTGAAATGGAGTTTGATACTAAAGAGTGTTGGATGATGTTCTATTAATGAGGTAAGCAGCAAAACAAAGAGCCTCCCCCCAAAAATGATGAGGCATATGGAGGGAATGATTTTCCCCACGAGAATATTCGTCAAAGATTCCTTCGTCTTCTCCGCTTCTCTTTCTCCCTGCAAAACAAATCGGAGTAAAAGGACCACACCCGGGGGGTGTTGGCCAAAGGCCCTCCGATGCCTAAGTTAGGTAAGGTATTTCAAGGAAAACCGGGTGGCCGGAGCCGTGTGTGGTGGCCGGAGCCTTGTGTAAGGGAGAGAAAGAAAGTGGTGGCTAGGGTTTGTGAGAAATGATTTCTGCAGAGTTTCAGTAGGAATTTAGACGTACCTTCACCATTGTGTGTGGCTATGCTTTTATAATGGTCTCGGAGGCTAGGGTTTCAGAGGAATAATTCCGTAGATGGAAGGGAATTATTCCTCCCCTTTATGGAATTGAT